AACATGGTTGTAGTTCGACCACGACCCACATGACATGTGAAACATGTTATCAAAATGTCGTGGTCAATCACATTACCACGGGACCTTGTCATGGCTAAGCAAATGCAATGGGGTTGATCCATATCCAGTACGCTGGAAGGCTTAAATTCAAGTCGTCGCAGGACAAACTTGTGCCCGTGGTACATTGTAAAAAGAGCTTCCGCCGGGGGGATCGAACCTTCGATCTCTAGCGTTTGATGATGATGTTATAACTATTGGACAACAATGACTTATTATGTGCACTTGTCCGGAGCGAAACTATTAATATATTTTAATGCTTGGAGTTGGTCGGAGTTGAACGACATCGAGATGGATCCCATGGACCCTGACGAGTTTGTCCCCAACTCGCAATCCGAGGACGAGGTATTTTGGAATGAAGTGGACGAAGTCGCTCTGCGCGCAGCACATGCAGACTCTGTAACAAGATTGCCGTCCAAGGTGCTTACTGGCGTTGAGTCAGTGTCTGCGCAAGTATTGAATGACCCGGTCAGCACGGATCGTCGGACCGCTGAGCAGACAGATCCATCGCTAGCGCCACCACCCAAGGACCACTCTGGCGGCGGAAGCTACTCCAACGATACCAGCGTCATACCGGATGCTGCTCGTGCTGCGTCCACCGATACGCTGCCAAGCACATTTAATGTCGGGGATCTGGTTGAAGTCGAGACTCGCACGTGGCCTGGTATTAACAAGATCGGGGGTGCAGCTCGAGTGACTCGAGTGTATGAAGAGAATGGCGATGCTGTTGTGGATGTTCGGTATTTTCTCGGTGGGTCCGAGCGCGCTGTGTGCATCGACTACGTGCGGCCGTCTAGCATTTATGAGAAGAAGTCACGCCAGCGTCGATCTCGCAAGTTTTTCCATGATGAGTTTGCCAACGAGTACCTACCAACGCGCCGGGTAATTGCACCTGACATAGCGACGGCCTCGGCCACGGCTCCTGTTGTAACAAGAGGTCAGTTCGTCGAACCCACAAAAGTTCACAAGGTAGCCAAGAAGACGAACACTACGACCAAGTATGTGGATTTGAAAGGCCGAGAGAATTTTAGTAGCAGCAGCAGCAACGACGACGACTACGGCGATAATACGCCACTCTATCATCGCTTCCAGAATTTGAGCAAGCTCCTCAAGCCGCCCAAGGCTCGCTCTCACGACAGCGAGGGTTCCACCAGTGACAAATCAGCTCACATATCAGAAGTACCGAGGCAATTTCGGCAAGAACGAGGCGAAGTTGTGTCAGTGCTCGAGTCGCACACAGTGCGGCCACCCCTTCCGACAGGCGCGACAACCGGGCGCCTACGTGCTCAAGCTATTCAAGCGCCGCGATCAAAGGTATCGTCAAGCTCGGATGATGACGAAATGGAGACGGCCCAAGCCCCGCGGAAGAAGCGACGGCGGTTTGTCGGTGGGTACGATGGCGACAACGACTTTATTCAACCGGAAGACAACGCGATGGATCTACCGGAAGACGTGCAGCACGACACGGGGTTCACTCTCGCAAGAACGACGAAATTACTGTGGCGGCAGTACCAAACGCACTCGATGGCGTTTGTATCAGCGTTGCAAACGTTTCAATCTTTGCGGGACGCGCCCCTCAACCCTGCGCACGTTCGTCGCATGTCTCGCGGTCGACGCCAATGTTGACGTGTTTCGAACGCTTGTGTAGCTCGAAGAAATGCATGCTTTTCATAGACAGCACGTCGTGCGAGAAGAGGACATTGTTGACGCAATCCTGCGACGTCTTGAAGCAAAAGGCAAATCGATCGTACGTGCAAAATTGCTGCTGTGCAAATGATCGTGTCGGGCGGGGCTTTTGGTAGAGCGCTGTGGAAAACCTCAAGCACGACCAGCGCAAGAGCCAAGTAAACGAATATGCGATGTGGCTCAAGAGCCGGCAGGATTTGTATGTCGTGCCGCTCTCAGTACCGTCGACTGCTGCCGTCACTCTTTCGTCCGAGTCGGACGATGACGATTACAACATGCTCTATCGGTCGCCCGATCGGAACCGACACAAAAGGGCACAAACGTCACGGCGGCCGGCGGATGTCAGGTCACTCCGCCCTATGCCCGCAAGGCATGGCGACACAAGCGACTCGACGGAAGAGTCCGAGTCGGACAACTGCGATTTCGAACAGTATGGAATCTGCTATGTGTGGGCGATACCTCACTCATGCGCCGAATCCGTGCAGAGTGCAACCATCGCATCGATCCAAGCAGCTACAGCTGCCACGTCGGCAGGTGTCCGTTGACGAAACGACCCCTAGCGTGGAATCGGATTCCTCTGCATATCGAAGCGCTGTATTCCGCGATGACGAGTACGGCGCCACCCATCCTATTGCTGCGTTGCTATTCATCCGATTGATATAGCATGCCATCAACTTTACACCCCACACAACTACCCCAAAAGCGACGCCAGCGACAAACTAAACTGTTGATTCCGCCAGAGTCGACGGCACCATCGCAGCGGTACCATCTCGTTGAATCATCATGGCACTCATGGATAGCCGATACAGAGAATACCAGCCCCAGACCATCCGCAATGTTCCACCTGCGATCTTGACATCGCCCGAATGGAACTGGAAAAGCCTTGTCAAACACAAGCGACGAACTCCGCACGGGCTTGCTCCTGCAGCCGTCCCGCGAACGGCCCGTAATGCGAATAGACAATCGTCCAAGTGGAAGTTGCGCGTATACCGTGCCCCTGTGCACATTGGTAGCAAAAACAGGACCGCGCCACAACGCTCCCAAGTTGAACTCGACGCTTTGAAAACATCTCAAACAAACTCTGGCCCCACAAACAGCAAATCTTCGACTCTCGACGACGCGCCGAACATTCTCGAACATACGTCCGACAATATTCCTGTGGGATGGCAGCCACGGCCAGAGGACGTAGAAGTTCTGTCTACCCAACTCACCGTCGCGACTCCTGAGTCCATTCAAAACATTCCTTCGTGGTATTTTTCAACTCCGGCGGTACGCCTTCTCCATGCAATGACGGATAAAGGAAAACGCTTGTAGTGTATACGAACGTCAGGATTCGTGACCAAGCTGATTCGAACGCTGCGCCACTTGCTCATTGATTTACAGCACACCGAAGCAAAGTTCATGGAACAGGAAGCGGGCGCGCTCGAGGTATCACTGCTTTGTCCAATAGCACCACCTCATGTTTGTGGCAATGCCACGGTATAGACCATCGAGGTGTCTTCGCTGGAAAGCATGGGTACGACATGCGCAGTGCTTCTCTCGGAACTGCGTCGACTGCACAGTGGCAACCCGATCAACTTGGACGAGATTCGATGGCTACTGGACCGAGTTCCCCGAATCCAATCGCTGTTGGATGAGACACCGTCGTACTATTTCTATTTCGAAATGACCGAGTCGTCCATGACGGTCTTCCTCCGAACAATTTGCGCGCTGCACTGCCAAGCGCTCGCGATGGACCCGCCTTCAATGCTTGACTCGACGTTGCTGTTTCTGCTCGAGTACCACATGCACTTTACGTCGTTCGGCGTGGCGCTGACATCGCCTGTCATGTCGGTGTGGCAGGCTATCCTGACCTGTCATCCCGATCTCTGGAAGTGCTTGGATGGACTGACGCATAAACCACGAGTGAAAGCACTTGCCAAGACGTTTTACCCCCACGCAACGAATGCTGAACTCGACATGATCCTCCGTGAAACGATCTGGGACGTCGTCGTGTGGCTGGCTCCTTTGCCCGACAAAACGTACGAACCCCACCGTCGCTTCTTGAGGATAGTTCACTCGCTTGACTCTCCATTACATGACTTTCGCAGGTTGCCGTCGAATTGGATGCTGGTCGGCAGTCTCCTCTCCAACTCGGAGGCCCTTCCATTTTCTCACACGTACCAACCGCCCCAAACCAACAACGCGTCGTCGGATGCCCTAGTTGAAGCGTACCGAAAACGAATTCTCCAGCGCATGCTCGTGCTATCAGCTGCATGGGCCCCAAGTCACGGTAGGAGCAACCCGGGACCCTGTGACACAAGCGTCGACTGGCAACCCACCTTGGATTAGTTCCTGTCGTGATGATTGTGCTGAAGTTGATGCAAATACCACCACCAGCAACTTCGCCGCGGTTGCCACCATTTCTGATGGAATTGGCACTCAAACCGAGCGAGCGCGACGCGATTCTGACGTACGAAATCGAAGACAGTGACTGCAGCGATTTGATGGGTCGTGTTATTGTGGTACGTGTGGATGGTCGTGCAGCAGCGATGAACAAGGGGAATCATCGTGGGTTTTTTGCCAGATGCAAATGCTGCAGCTCGACAAATCAGTGCTACGCAATCGCTTTCGCCATCCTATTTTGAACGCGCTCAAACAGCAGAAGAAGTACGAGACCGTCGGGGGCAAGTGGAATTGGAACAAACCCAAGCAAGCCGTGAGCCACACAACCGCACCAGTCCTGTCGTCTTCCAACGTAGAAAACTCTGGGCACTTGACGAGTCTCTGACGTGAATTCCCATAGACGCACATTCACTTGATTGCTCTTGTCAGCATGGTGCTGGCCACGGCCATGACGGATGACTTGAAGACTTTCAAACGTGACTTGTCCTTCTACACAAACGAGATTCTCCGGGTGGCGCCAGACAGTCCCACGACTGCCGTGCACGCTCTGTGGATCCTCATGACAGCAATGAAGGCGCATTTCCACTTGATGCCGCCATTGCTTGCTTCGTGCAATGAGTTGCTTGTTCAAATGACAAAGCAATCGCAGATCGATCCAGGTCGAGTGGTGGATGACACAAATTTGTGCTTGTTGTGTGTAGACGCAATCGAATTTGCATTGCACTGCCTTTTACAAGTGGCAAAAGAGTTGGTTTGTACTCCCGTGGACACATCATCCCTTGATCACTTGGCCGAGTGCGTGCAAGGGATCTTGAACACAGGATTCGATAGCGTCTTGCAGCTGTGCTTCAAAAAGATCTTGCCGCCGTCGGTACTATCGATGGCGACGTCGATTCTTGTGTGCCTGTGTCCACATTCCCCCATACCGCCACCGCTCCCTCCGTCGAGCGAATTCGACGAATTCGACGATCCCGAGGAAATGGCGCTCCTGGCATCGTTGGATGTAATGCCTGAAGCGCGGGAAGTCGTCGTCCAGCTCAAATACCGCCACGTGCTGGGCGCGAGTGCAGAAGCTATTTTCAAAATCCTGCGTGTGAGTTTGCAAAAGTTTGTGCTCCATCAGTACGCGTCGACGGCCGCACTGACTGCTATCGGCGTTCTTCTGGCGCATGTGAAGACCTTCCAATGGGACATCCTTCAAGCATCATCGAAAGGGCCGGCGGTTTTCGTGTTTCCTCGAGTGCTTTCCACCGCCATCTCGAATTGCCCGACGAACTACATCGCGCAGTTTTTGTCCAGCCACACTAAGGGCGACGTCGCGCTCCTCCGCGTGTGGCTCTTGACCCTCATAGACCCTTGTCCACTTTTCTGGGACGCATTGACGGCGCACTTGGCAAGTTTGCAGTCAGCAGCGTCGCTGCTGCAGTTGCTTCGCGGCTGCATGCCGCCTTCCGGCACGTCCAAAAGCCTTACGTACGTCGACCGCGCGTCGGCGTTTCAAACGTTTTGCGCCAATGTCGTCGAGCGATTCAACGTTGCCGGGGACCAAGCGAACGCCCTGCGATCCGTGGTTCTGGATATGCACCATGGCTTGTTTGCGCAGTGGGTGGAGGCGTGCAGTGTGTCACTGAAATCGCTGTGCAGCACGGCACCGCCCGACTGGAAGTACATTCACGCGCTCTTTGACGACTCGGTCAAATTTCGACGGCACGACAAGGAACTGTTGCAAACCATGGCGACTGGCCGTAAATCGAATACGACGTTAGGAACCATTCAGTACTGCCGCGCCGTGTATGCATACTTGTCATCGATGTTTCGGCTGTGGGGGCCCTTGACCCGCGGCACCCAACTTGTATTTGCCACGTTTTTGCAAGAATTCTTTCCCAGCGTCGCGTTTGCCCAGCACGACCACGCCGCCGAACTCTTATTTGCCTCGACGCAGCTCTTTCGAACAAAGCCGATGGCGAAGGCGCAGTGGTTTGGCAGCAAGCTGGACAAGGCATGGGTCTCTGCCGTCGAAACCCTCCGCACGTTCTTTTCCATGCAAGCAATGCCGTCCCTCTTCGATTGGATTGCGTCGGTACGACGGCTCCCGGTCAAAAGAATATGCGTCGAGTTGGACGTTTCTGTATAGACTGCTCAGGCCTATCAGCTGTACACAGGTGGATTCAACTCGTCACCGCTGCGGACATTTATAGTGAACATCGTCGATCCCGACGGCCCGCTCGGCGTGGCAAGCTACTACCCGATTGTCGACTCCCACGTTGCGTTGTCACCCGTAAAGCGCGAAAGCGACTACGTTGCGTGTGCGCTCTACAATTGCCAGGCGCACCAACTCGACGCCGGCATTGACAAGTCTAGGCTCCGGCGATTTGTGCTCCACCATGGGATGCCTCAGCATGTGCGGTCGGTGCAATTCATGGACGATCTCTGTCCGGTGCTACAGCTTCTTCGTGCAAGCGCCTGTCATGCCCACCAGTACGGCGACCACGTGAACCCGTTCGACTACCTCCTCGCGCTCCAAGCATGCCTGGAAGTGCTTCTGCCTGCATTTGATGTCGACCTCACTCCTGCGACGTACGAGCCTTGGAATTTCGAGACCTTTCAGCGGATACACTCACTCGGTGGCTGCGTTGTAGCTGCATTCTCCACGTGGAACTCCTCGAGTGGATGACCGTCTGTACATCAGCGAACGAAGCTGTGGGTGACGCAATGATGGCTGCCGTCACGCAACTTGTCATGCTGCGAAGTCTCAAGTTGTGGTCCCAACTCGAGCCGAACACATCGATTCTACAAATCCCTCGTCACCACGATGCATTTCTCAGCGTTCGACAGCTACTGATCGACCACCATCAATTTGCCTTTGGATCAACGTTGCCGTCGAGACCGGGAGGGAGTGGCGTCAATGCATATCGAGCCAAGGGAGATTTGTTGGTCAGCGTCAAGCGATTCGTCGCCAGTGCAAGTCGACATCTTCATGTCCAACGGTTGGTCTCGCCAGAATAAACTCCATTGCTCCAGCAGAAGACTATAATCAACCACGCGACTGTTGTCACAGAACAGCGCGCTCTTGCCGATGATCGGCCACAACGTTGTCCTTCTTTAGCATCCCGAGACCGTACCCGAGGTACTTGGACCCATGCGCATCCCTACACGAGCTGTCACCACACGTGGCAATTGGGACGGTTCACCGTGTGCTTGTGAAGTGGGTTGTGATGAGAATGCTCTTTTTCTCTCCAGGATGACTGTGGATGCAACAATGTGAATCATGTCGTCGAGGATGAGAAATTCGTGATATACTTGGGGGGTTCGGCTTTGGCGGGAGCGGACTGTGGGGTTTCTTGCGACATCTCTGGATCAGTACACGGCGCCAGCGCGACCCGGTCCACTCGCCTCCGTCGAGCATGCTGCGAGCCCAAGGCAGGCTCGGACTCACTTCGGGCGACGTTCAGATTATACCGCGCCATTGCTCGATCAGCTTGAACGCCATTGAACTTCGCCGTGCCTTCGTGGAGTGCTGGCAGCATCCAGTCAACACGAACGAAAAGCCTACCTCGTTTCGCACTAAGGAATGGCTGCCGTTGGATGCTCACGGGTTCCCCCGCCGCCTCGGCAATCACAACACCGTATCCTCTCTATATCACGGGAATGAGCTCTACTATTAGGGAAGAACAGTACCATCAACGCCGACTCCTTGGCGCTGGCGCCAACCGACACTTGTGTGAGTTTCATTTGGGCCATGTGCAAATCGATCATCGCTTGGTTGTAGCGGTCGGTCCACACGTTTACTTCGTCCGTCTTTAGCATGAGTTTCCTGTGCGAGCAGCAAGTTGAGCCCCCTGTGTAAGCCCACCCGTCCAGCCACCCCACCGTCTCGTCTCAAGCAGCTGGAGTTGGGTCGCTTCCAGTTCCTTGTGCGTGGCTTGGAAGTCTTTTTCGGCGATCTACTCGTTGTGTTAAATTGCTGGACGGACATCCAAAGTCACAATTACGGTTAGCAGCTTTGTGCTCACGCGGAGGGAGGCGCGGAGGCCATTGACTTCCGCCCGCTTTCCTGCTGCTTCTTCGTGGGCGAGCAGCGCGCCTTTTGTCGCCACTGCCTGCGCGTGCTTATTAGGTCCTGATGCGCCTGCCTCATGCATGATACCGCTTCGTTGGACAAGGCTTTCATTTCGCGTTCTCGAATGTGCGCTGCTTCCATTTCAACCAGTCGCTGCGTTCGCTCTTCCTTTAAGCTCTCAAGGAGAATGTTCACTTGGCGATTGCTCAAGAGAGCTTCCCTGCTCCGCCACAGGTGCATGAGGTACGTGCACGAGTCTAGCACAAGAGCCCGTACAGCTCGGCGCGCTCCGTCGTAATATCTTCTTTGAGCTTCTTGTTCTCGTCCTCGAACGTCCTACACGTCTGTCGGAATAAAAGTTGACACGCAGCTTCGTTTCAGTTACTTCATGCGGCTAGATTGCGCTGGTCCATGCGTCGTGAGCTTTCTTGTTAGGATACATGTGCAATGAGCATCACGACGTACACTGGTATCGAAGTCGGGCCATTTCCAATGCCGCCTCAAGCTTGTTAATACGCTCCTGGTCCAGCAGTTCATTCTGCACGCCATGAAGTTGGAGTGCGGTCTACCTCGTACTGGCGGCTATTCATTGGCATCGTGACCAAGGAAGGCTGTGGCAACGCGCCGACGGAGCTCCAGCGCGAACGCCAATGTTGAAACCGTTCAACCACGTGACACAGACGGTTTCGCAATATCATCAATACGTCTGTCGTTTGCGTGAGTGAGGAATCGTCCTCCATTGACTGAGGTGACTTGCGCAGGTCTGCCCAATGCCATCCCCCCAAGCACTGCACCGACTCTCCAACCGGGCCGCTGCGCGAACTCGTGGATCGGGACGCGTCCCTTGCGTGTAGATTAACTCTATGGCTAGAATGCGATCGCCAGTCCTGCTGCTGGATGACGGGCGCCCCCATCAAGCACCCGCAGCGGCGCCGACGCAGAACACGGCAACGTCCAACGACGCCTTGCAACGACGTCCGGATAATCAATATGCGATATCCCAATGCACTTGAGTGAAGTATGGAACGACATCGCCAACTAATCTCTTTATCCGGATTCCTCATGAAATTCTAAAAATATGCGAGGTGTTACCCACAACTTGGTTTCCCTGCCCCAGAATCCGACTCGCCGCCGCCACGACCTTTCTCCGTCGCCTCCATGGACCAACCCCCAGAAATGCCGTCATCGCCGTCTCATTCACACTCGACGTTGCGGCAACCCTCATCTCTGCAACTTCTCCAGGAACAATTGGGACCCAAGAAGTGGGAAAACCCCCTCGTGCCCGAGGCGACACGAGCGAAATTCCGTGATGCCCAACAGCTCGATGTGTTCCAAGTACGCTTTATCATGACGGTGGAAATGCCTCTCTAATCAATCCACGTGACATAGTTTGTCGACACGGAAGGAATGGTGACGGATGCTGACGTACAGACTTTGCTCGATGATGTACCTGCTTCCATCCCACGGAAAGGACCGTCCAACTGATTTTGTTCAATTCTAGGTGGCGGATGTAGACCTTGATTATATCAAGAAGATTTACACGGAGTCGCTGTTGTTTGACAAAGGCGCGATGGCAAGCTTGACCAATTGCTCCATTGAGCCGTTGGACGAATTTGACTCCGTGCTGACATCGTCTCCGGAAACCATCGCGACATGGCGAGCACTAGGATACAATGCGATCAATCGTGGAGAAGTCGCCGCCATGATCTTGGCCGGTGGCCAGGGTACTCGGTTGGGGTTTGACGGCCCGAAAGGTATCTAGCATTCCTCAGTTGATATCACCATGGCGGGGCTTCTCATCGTGTTCGTATTCATTTGTCCCAGGCATGTACGACATTGGTCTGCTGTCGAAGAAGAGCTTGTTCCAACTCTTTGCCGAACGAGTGCTACGCATCCAGAAAAACGCGAAGAAGCACGGACGCATCGCGCATGACCCTGTTGTGCAGCTCTACATCATGACGAGCCGGATGAACCACGACACGACGACAACATTCTTTGAAGAGAACGAGTTCTTCGGACTCAAGGCGTCGCAAGTCACGTTCTTTCCGCAGGGTACTCTCCCGTGTTTGACGAAAACGGGGCACATCATGCTGGAAACTCCCCACAAGATTGCGCGCGCGTCGGATGGAAACGGAGGTACTTGCTTCTTCATCTTGTTGGATTCGATCATCACCAACCTACAGGCGTGTTTACGGCCATGCTAAAGCACAACGTCCTTCAAAAGATGACCCAGGCTAACGTACAGCACCTTCACGTGTTTTCTGTCGACAATGCGCTCAACAAGGTCGCGGACCCAGTGTTCCTCGGCTACTGCATTGACAAGCAAGCGGAGATTGGGAACAAAGTCGTGTGGAAGACTAATCCGGAAGAAAAAGTGGGTGTCGTCGCGAAAAAGGACAACAAGTTTTGTGTCGTTGAATACAGCGAACTCGACGCACAGAACGCGCAACTGGTCGACCAAACGACGGGAAAATTGGTTTACGGCGCCGGTAACATTTGCAACCACTACTTTTCAGTGTACGCGACATCCTCCCTCGTCTTCTCCAGACGATCCACTTCATGAACACTTGGTGTTGTAGGCCTTTCCTCACGCGTACGCTGGCGACGCTGGACTTGCCGTACCACATCGCGATGAAAAACATTCCGTCTGTCTCGCTGCATGACACCACAAGCAAGACCTTTCCCGGTATGAAGTTGGAAGCTTTTATTTTCGACATTTTCGCCGCTGCCACGCAAATGGCGGTGCTGGAAGTTGCTCGAGAAGACGAATTTGCCCCCGTCAAGAATGCCAACGGAAACACGGACAAGGGGTATACGGTGGATTCGCCAGACTCGGCCCGCTACTTGTTGAGCTCCCAAGCCAAGCGTTGGGTTGAAGCGATCGGTACTGATCCTTGCGTCGACGCATTTGATTAATGATAGAGCTTGACATAACATTGCAGGCGGTGACCTCAAATTGCATTTGGTGACCAAAGGTGAGCTTGAAAAGCAAGGCAAGCGCTTGAAGCGATGGTCGAAGCGGTTTGTCGAGTTTGATGCAGCCACAAACTGTATTACGACGTACAAGTCGGAGGAAACCAAGTCGAAGAAAGCCAAAACGTCGTCTGTCGTGAAGTGCGAGCTCGAGGAACATTTAGGCGTGTCGGTGTTGCTCGGCAACGGGAAGGTGCTTAAGCTCAAATGCCCGACCGAAGACGATCAAATCCACTGGAACCAAGTCATCACGGAAGCATTGCAACCCAACATTGCTAACGAACGGTTGTTTGAGGTTCGATTGTACCCAGTTTCTGGCAAATCGACGGTTGTGACACTGCATCCTCGTAGGTGTCGCCGCTCGTGTCATACGAAGGGGAAGGTCTCGAATACCTGAAAGGGCGCCAATTTTCGTTGCCGTGTCACGTGTCGGAGAACTTTGCGCGTCGATTGAGCATGCACGTTCCGTCTTTTGCGTTTGTATCCAACTCGAAGATGAAGAGTATTGTCGCAGATGGCACCGAACTCGTCGTATCAGAAGTTGAAATCGCACCAATTGTGGAGAAAACCCACGACATCATCATCGAGACCAAGTTTGCTGCTGTGACCCCCCTCGACGTTCAGCTTCGCACGAAGGAGCCGGACGCTGTTCCTGGATACGCCGTATCTGGTGTAGTCTCATCTGTGGGCAATGATGTGACCAAATTTAAAGTTGGCGATCGTGTGTGCGCATTGGTCGCCAAGACAGGTTGGAACGAATTTGTCAAAGTGCAAGAGAACGACTGCGTCGCCAAATTGCCGCTGCGCATGCCCCTGTCGTTGGCTGCGCAAGTTCCCGTCACGACATTGATAGCTCAGCATCTCAAACAACACGTTCAATCCGGTGATCGCGTGCTCATTGTGTCACATGGTTATGGCGATATTGGGTACGCTGTGTCCTCACGACGCCACGTTTTGAAATATGATGATTGAATAGATACGTCTTGCCGCAGCTGTGTGCATCTGTCGGGGCGTCGTGGATTGGGATTTGGACCAACCAGCCCGAAAAGTTCGCATTGCTTGACATTCCCGTGGTCTCAAGCGTTGCCGAGGCGCAACAACTGGCCAAAGCGGCAACGAACAGCGACGTGAGCCTGGCAATTGATGTGAGCTTGACCCCGCAAGTCGTGGGGCCTATCAAAACTGTGACCATTCAAAACTTCGTTGGGTCTGTTCCGACCTTCACAGCGGCGGATTTGAGCGGCATGGTCGATCGAATTGCCAGCGACATGTTAAGCTATCCGTCGTCGATGGTAATCGAGAAGCCCTTCGCGTCGGTGGAAATGACCTTGAAGTCGCTGTCGACGAGTGTCTCGCTCCGTGTGAACATCCCCGTCATCCCTCAAACCATCATCTCGAAACTCGAAGAGGCCAAACAAGACCATGTGTTGAAGGTAACAGCAATCTTGACGTGGCGGGTAAGCTCGGGGAATTCTCACATTTCTAGTATAGTTTTACCAAGCAGGCAAGCTCACCAATTCCGAAATCGACCAGTTGATTGAAGATGTACGGCCAAACTCTCCATTGCTTGCAACGACACTGACAATGCCTGCATCCTGTAGTTGGAACATTTGGACTTCGACCACTTGGGCTCGATCTTCCAAACGAGCATGAAGTCGGATGGCGCGCCGTTGACGGGGTCGCTGGAGCCATTAGACTCGACCGATTCCATCAGCACGACCCCCGCAGCTACACTCGCAGCATGGCAAAATATCGGGACGGAAGCTATCCGCCAAGGAAAAGTTGCGGCGTTGGTTCTGTCTGGTGGCCAAGGCACGCGATTGGGCTTTGCTGGCCCGAAAGGCATGTACAACATCGGGTTGCCCTCCGAGAAGAGTTTGTTCCAGCTGTTCAGCGAACGCATTCTTCGCCTTGAAGCGTTGGTTGGCGTCACGGGCAAAATTCCGTTTTACATCATGACGAGTGTCATGAATCATGACACGACCGAAGTCTTTTTCAAGCAACATGAATATTTTGGGCTGCAGGCTTCGCAAGTCATGTTCTTTCCCCAAGGGACGTTGCCATGTTTTACCAAAGACGGTACAATCACTGCCACAAATCAAGCCACTGTACGATGATTCTGTGTTGTTTGGGGCAGGGAAATTGATGCTGGAGAGCGCGGGCAAGCTCGCGACAGCGTCAGACGGCAATGGTGGGGTTTACACGGCATTGGAAAAGAGCGGGGCGCTTGCTCGCATGAAGGAAGAAGGGACTGAGTACCTCCATGTTTTTTCGGTGGACAATGCCATGTGCAAGGTCGCGGACCCGATGTTCATTGGATATTGCATTGAAAAGAATGCCGACTGCGGCAACAAAGTGGTGTGGAAGACTCGCCCAGAAGAAAGCGTCGGCATCGTCGCCAAGCGCGGCGGTCAGTACTGTGTCGTCGAGTACAGTGAAATGGATAAACCAACGAGCGAACTCCGAGACCCCAACACGAACCAACTTCTTTACGGAGCGGCCAACATTTGCAACCACTTTTACACTGTGTACGGCATTAGTTGCACACGAGTGAAAAATTGCTTTTTTACCCGAGGTGCTTTCATAGATCGTTCTTGACCGATGTCGTGCTGCCTCAAATGAGCCTTCAATACCACGTTGCTCACAAGAAAATTCCCATGGCCGACGAAAACGGCGTCACGGTCACGCCAACTGCAAACTCGGGCGTGAAGCTGGAATCGTTTATCTTTGACGTGTTCCCGCTGTCGCAGCGCATGGCTGTACTCAGCTCAAACCGCGAAGATGAGTTTTCCCCTGTCAAGAACGCACCTGGCAACCCTGTCGATTCCCCAGATTCTGCCCGGCAAATGCTCCACGACCAAGCTACTCGTTGGTTGAAGGCCTCCACATCGTACGAGTACCTGGAGATCTCGCCGCTGGTGTCGTATGCCGGGGAAGGCTTGGATGCTTACAGAGCCGATTTGCCATTTGCCCGAGTACTTTGCTTAGACTCGAAGTCTCATCCTGCTAACGCCCACTGTGTACCAACTGTGCTGCGTCATCGTTTGGAAGAATTTAAGCAGCAGCATGTGTTGCACTTCATTGACAGCGGCAAAGTATCGAGGTACCGAATGTAGTCGCCAACGTTAGTGGTTGTCTAGCGCTCCTTTGATAGATACGAAGCTCAATTGCTTCTTCAGGATCTTGCGACAATCGATTTCTACCACCTGAAAGCCAGCTTCGAGCGATCGATGCATGGTTCGGATGGAGTTGACACGACTGGGGCGCTGGCTCCCCTATCGGAAGAGGTCGCGAGTTTGGCGGACTCCAGCGCCGCGGACAAAGACAAGTGGACGCACGTTGGTATGGACGCAATTCGCAATGGCCAAGTCGCCGCTTTGGTCTTGTCGGGAGGTCAAGGCACACGCCTGGGCTTTTCTGGCCCCAAAGGCATGTACAACATTGGTTTGCCGAGTGGAAAATCGCTGTTTGAATTGTTTGCGTTGCGATTGCTCAAGCTACAAAACGAAAGCAGTGGGATCATTCCATGGTTCATCATGACCAGCATGCTCAACCACGAAACGACCGTTGCGTTCTTCGAGAAGAACTTGTACTTCGGCTTGAAGGCAGCACAAGTGATTTTCTTTTCGCAAGGCACACTTCCCTGCCTGACCGTCGAAGGTAAGTTCTGTTTCAGATTCTCAAATCAAAACCGCACTTTAATCATGTGTCGCAAAGGCAAGCTGATGCTGGAAACGCCCAGTAAACTCAGCCGTGCCCCGGACGGCAATGGGGGAATCTATCGAGCCCTCGTCGACTCTGGCGCATTGACCCAAATGGAAACACTCGGCGTCAAGTACTTGCACGTGTTTTCGGTGGACAATGCGATCTGCAAAGTTGCGGACCCAGTCTTCCTTGGTTACTGCATTGCCAAGCAAGCCGATTGCGGCAACAAAGTTGTGTGGAAGTCGCGCCCGGAAGAAAGCGTCGGTGTCGTCGCAAAGCGTGGTGGGCAGTACTGCGTCGTAGAGTACAGTGAAATGGACAAGGCCACAAGCGAGTTGCGACACCCAGACACAAACCAACTGCTCTACGGGGCCGCGAACATTTGCAACCACTTTTATTCCTTGTACGTTTGTGTCGTGGATGTATCTTCCACTAGTATGAATCCTTGGATCGTCTCATGTTGCAATTGCGTGCTACCCAGGGAGTTTTTGCAAAAGTGCTGCCGCGGCGACAACATGAACGTGTACCACGTTGCCCACAAGAAGATTCCATACGTGAGCTTGGAGACCGGCCAACTCGTCGCGCCTTCGTCCAACTCGGGCATCAAATTGGAAGCGTTCATTTTTGACGTCTTCCAGTACGCCACAGCGATGCAGGTACAAGCTATCTTATATTATTCGTGCAATGTATGGGTTCTCATGTGGAAACAACACGCAGGTGTTTGAAGTGACACGGGACGAAGAATTCGCCCCGGTCAAGAATGCCAAGGGCAATGCCGTCGATTCTCCCGACACGGCTTGCGAATTGATTTCAAACGCTGCGAAGAAGTGGATCCTTGCGGCCGGGGGCTCGTTCGACCCTGAAACGTCGGGATTGTGCGAAGTTTTGCCTACCGTGTCGTATGGTGGGGAAGGCCTGAAGGAATTGGTGTTTGCGAACATGAAGCTGCCTCTATTGTTGGACTCGAGCCGACCAAAGGGACGCCGAACGTCATCCGCATCCAACATTCATCCGAGTCGACCGGAAGACAATGCGGCGAACCAGCCCCCCCTCCGCCAGCCATTCTTATCCGACCCAACGTCGACGTCGGTGGGCAACGACCGACCCAAGAATGCCAAGAAAAAGTGCGTGATTCAATAAGGACCAAGCCAACGCGTTTCGTTTATATCTCGCGTGTCACGTTTCCACAACCAACCGACAACTGGACGAATTTCGGAAGACTTTTGCCATGTGTTGTGGGGACGTATTCATGCTGTTAAAACGTCTCGGGCGTTCGTTTAGCGCATGTTTTCTGCGACAGATTGAAAGTTTAAACAGACGTGGTAGACACGTTAATTAGTATAACTTATATCAGGGGGATGGGCCAACAAGCCACATGGTTGTCAGTTCATTTTACAGCCACTGCCCACATGACAATTGTGCACTAGGGGTTTCGCGTTCCATTGACTGCCGCTTGATTGATTACCTCCCCCCGCCGTCCACAACTACGCAATGGACGAGGATGACGCAGTGTTGAAGCGCCGGGAGATCGTGCGCAATAGCATGCGCCGCCACCGGGCCATGAATAACGTGAGTGAATTTAACGAACGAACGAACGCGGGGAACATGACTGGTCGTTGCACGTAGCGAGTCTTGAGTGATCTCCAAGCCCAAGTGGAGTTCTTAGAACGTGTGTACGAAGCAAAGACAGCAACAGCACTTCACAATCGAGACGCTCGCTTTGACAGACTCACAGCATCGACGCAGTTTTTGTTGCATCAAAACGCCATGTTGCTCGAGGCGCTGCGCCGTCGGGCAGCCATGAACCAAGCCTTGCTTCGTACAATCGTACGTGCCCTGCATATTCGATGACGAACGCGCCGTTGTGACACCATTGACGCAGATGCATAGCCCCGGCTCACAGATATGCCGTCCTTGCTCTACGACAACGAGTTCATTCAATCTCACCTTAGCGTCTTCAAGTCAACGTTACTGTCCACAAGCCACCTCCCTCCATCGTCTGCAAGGGTTTCGACCGACGCGGTCGATGGGTGGGAGTCTCAAGTGGTTAAGACCCAGGCGCTGGTCAAGTATTCATCTGTCAAAGTATGCCGCAACATGGCTGCGCCGACCGACGTCGTGTGGCGGGAGATGTGGACCAAATATTGCAACGTCCAGGTAATTGCACGAATGGGGAACGTATCTCGATGCCGGGTACGTTTGGGTTGAGTTTTGTACGCGTCATGGCATCATTGGGGCACTCTTGTGCCATTAGATCGTTCGACTTGTGGACATGGACACCGTGGCGTTTGAAGCAGTCTTGGTGGACCAAGCGACAGGCCGCACCATTCCCCGAATCCTGGTTCTCCATCGATTTCAACATGGATCGGCCTCGTACATCGGACGTGTCGTCTTGGATAAAGCAGCCATTGGACGTGGTCCGCCTGTGTACCACATCAATTTGTTGGGGTTGGAGGGACAGTCGACGCAAGGGGAGATGCGCGTGACGAGCAAGGGAGTCATTTCGCTCGACCTGGTCCACCCGCTTTACGCTCAAGCTGTCCTGGCACAAAATGCTCTGCACTTGCGGACGTACGAAAGCAATGCCCTGCATGATCCAGACGCAACCACCTATTAAACCATTGAACCTCCCACCGTTGCAAATTTTCCATGACTTAGCGACGACGCGATCTCATCCAAGTATACAAATGCTTATGGCCAGAGGAATGTGTCCATTTGCACACATGACTACATCACACGAGTCCGCCACCGTAGTAGCTGTCGAACGACTTATGGTAATGAAAATTGTCGTTCCTTCGCTGTCCCATCAACGTAGTCCAAGGCCCACCAGAAAGGTTCGTCCTAAGGCACGCAGGCGATCGAGTCGTCCGTCCACTTTATGTCACCACACAGTTGGCCAAGGATTCAAGTGCACGTCATGGATGAAAGCTGTGCTGAGTGTTGGGATTTTCTACGTCGCCAGCATGTGCTACCACCAAGAATTATAGCATATAGCACTGGCACACTGGTATTAACATGGACTCAAGACATTGGAGATGGCGCATGGAAGGGTAACCCTTGACAATACGTCGTCCATTCCAATTGTGTTGCTCTCGACTGAACCATCGGCGATAGAATGTCCAGGCACTCGGCGACGCAAGCAATCAAATCGTCGTAGTAGTGGAGAGAGTCAGATGCCCGTCCTTCGTCAAGCCACTTGTGCATCGTACGCAGCACGCAGTGGCGTTTCTGCCAAAAATGTTCACGGACGAAGTCTTCAAAGGCCACGGGGGGGCTCTTCATTGCCCCAGTCCACGCATATCGAATGGTTGCCAATCGAAGTGGTTCTAGTCCGCCATTTGGATTGGTGCGCACTCCCCGAGGCAGTTGATCTGGGGACGAAGCCCACTGCCGCTCCCGACCAGGCTCGTTGAAATACGGCAACTCAGCCCCCAGAATTGCGCCCTGAATCGATACAAGCACTTGCAAAATCGTCGACGTAACAACATTCCACGGGTCCCCAGACCACGTCCCCAGAAGCGAGAGACATACTTTACCACAGTCGTACAAGTTTGGACTGAACCGAACAGTCCCTCCTCCTGTCGTCATGAATCGGACTGCCGGCGGACCCTGCGGGTAATTGGGCGGCACGACGACGAGGAAATGAAAGCAACCAGTATCGTATGGAGTGTTGCTTGGTCCCGTGATAACCACCGACAAATGGTGGGGATGCGTTTCGTCGACACGGACTGCAATCATAGAGCCTTCGTGCAGCGGGAGATTCTCTGCCAACACGAGGAGTTCTTGGTTCAGCCGGCCCATCGAGCCGGGTAGAACAGTCGTCGAAGTAGTGGTTTGTCCCACACAGTCAAAGTATGAGGCGTCAAACTGGTGCGAACCAAACTTCATTGGGTCAAGCGCTTGTTCGTAGGCTCCAGTGATGACTGGTGTGACCTTGTCCGATCGTACGAACTTGATTTCGAGGATCAACTGGGAAAAAGTCTTCGACACAGGATGATCAGGTGGAAACTCCGACACGACCGTGAAAAATGAGCTCAAACACGTCTGAATTGGAAGAGACCTGCCGGCCGCGACCGATCGGAGAAAGCACGTGGCGTCGAAAAATGGATGGTTGTGCAGGTACACAATGATGGCAACGAGAGCGGCGCAGAGGTCCAATTGTTGAACTACGTGTTCCAGCGTTGGGTCGTACAACCACTGCTCAATAATGACGGAGAACCGAGGGTGCAGAATGTGACCCTTGACCTCGTCGAAATACAATGCTGACACGTTCATCTTGGTGCAAGCTTGTACGAGAGCCAGCCACAATTGTAGCACGTGAGTTGCAAGGATGGTGCCGACAGTGCGAGGTATCTCTGGGGGCGCGTCGTTGGTGCTCTCGTGTTTGTTTTTCCACATCTTTTCATTCGAGTGCAAGTAAAATGGTTTCCACAAGTGTCCGTTGTTTCTGTCTATGCTCGGTTGCACCATTGCCACTGGGGCATTCTTGACAGTCTCGGATCGCTTCTCTGGCGTAGCTTGCTCACTAGGTTGCAGCAATAGACTGTCCAGGAGACCCATGAGCAGTTCAAACAAGAACAGGTCCTTCAGACACTTGACGAACGCTGCCGGACGCTTGCAGCACTTGAGTTCATGGCAGTATGATTGGAGGTCGTCGATGGATGCTCGAGTTTCAGGCGACAGCCTCTCGTCCGTCTTGCTCGCGATTATAGCGGTGTAGAACGTCGACGTCAGAATCTCGTCCATCGTGTGCGCGCCGCTCGACCAGTTGGGAAATGATGCCAACGGCGAATGAAAGTTGCTCTGGACGAACGTCAATCTTTTTTGTTTTTTCGCAACATTATTGGCTGAATTTTCTTCAAGACTTTCGCAATACACTGTATCCTGCCAGCTTAAACCCCCGAAACCCCGAACAGAGTAACTTCAACAAAGTATGGCATACAAACACAAAGCATATTGACAACAAAGTTGCACCTTGGCAAAGGTCCGTGACAGCACGCGAATGACAATGCACAAACCCCGGAACTAGCGTCATGCGTTATTTGGAGTTGGATATGTAGTCTCTGGTGGTTGGGGGACGGCTTTTCGAGAACCATGCTTTTCGTCATCCATTTTGTCATCCACAGGTGACCTTTTACCGTCAGGTAGTTCTCCATCCCAAGCCGCCAGCTATTTGATCAGAATAATTTGACCAATTTCTTTGAGCAGCCATATCTTTGATGTGGGCGAATGGTCGTGCGCAGATTTTGCGGCTGGACGACCCCACAAGCATGACGTGCCGTCTCGATGGCTTCTTGATGATGATTCTGACTGAGGACACCCTTCATAACACTCCCACATCCCTCTTCGGACGCGTTTGGCTGAATGCTAGACACATCACGCTCAGCCATTTGTGCAGTATTGGACATTGGTCGGGAAAGTATCGCTGTGCCCCCGAGTATACAATACTTTTCTTGGGCCGTGTTCAAAGAGACCACCCTGCACTTCAACTTGAATGGCGCCAAATTTTCCTATCCACATGCAAATTTAGTGTTGACTGCTTCGCACAGCCACATCCTTCCATTGATTCTCTACGTATGTTTCATGACGGTACCCAACGTTGTGGCACGAGACGATGCGCATGGAGAGGCCCGGAGGACTGGCGGCCGTACCTCTTGCGGCCATGCCCATGAAGGTGACGACGACGCGCCCATGCATACTGCGAACTTCGATTTCTCTGGTGCCCGCGCATTTCGTTTCGGCGCCACTTTAAGCCAATTGGACGTCTAGGAATTCGAGCCGTATATGAGAATTTGTATGCGGTCGAGACCATTCGAAGTTACGGTGATCGTAGTTTGGTAGATTTTGTTTGGGAGATGGATGAACCCGCCGACTCCGCACCGCAGCGGCTAGACTCGCCGCGGCCGCCGTCTCGAAGTGAAGAGACATTGAACGGTGCAGTGAAGTTAGGCTTTAAAAACCCCACCATTGCCGATATGCAAACTGATGCAGCAGTGGATTCGACAACAGTGACGATCACCTACGGCACTGCAGAGTCGTCATTCCATCAAGGACGTGAGGACCTCAGCGACGTGTACTTTCTTGTGGCAGACTTTCTTCGACGAGGAACACCATGCTCCAAAGCTGCCTCGGCATTCGAAGAGGAACTTCATTCTATGGGACTCCTTCGGACGACCGTGAATTGGCAAGGACATGAACAGCCAGCAACGTACACAGACCTACGTCTTCGACATCGACGCCTCCCTCCAACACAGCTCGTGTCGATTCTACGCAAAAGCGCAGAGGGTAAAACCAACAGTCTTATGCGTCGTCAAGATGTAGTGGTGTCCACAATTGAAGAGCGCCGCAGTGCCTTGGACACTTTGATTCAACTTTGGCGCAACATCCGATCGAACGAGCGGAAGGTCCGCAATGTCACGTTGCTGCTGGAGAAGATAAAGCTTCGCAAGCAGCACCTGTCAGAGCCAGATGAAGTGGACCTTGTGGCGGAGCATCGTGGGGCCAAGCAGTTGATCGAACTGAAGGCACAGTTGGAGCGTGATTCCAACACAAGTCGGTCGGTGTGGCAACGCGTGGAATCGTGGGGATTGCCGCGTCCTGTAACGTCGGTGACCTCCAAGACCAATTATTTCCGCCACTTGCGCCAGCGCAATGTCGTTGGACAATCCCACCGCCACCCTCATGCTCGTTCAACGTCGCTGGTTCCATTGCAGTCAACGCCGCCAACGTTTCTCTATAGTCGCTACCGGAAGCTCAAGTCGTTGAGTGGCCATTTGCAACTTCCTGTTTTTTGCGTCACCTATGACAAGAGCGGCAACTACATTATCACGGGTTCCGACGATCGCCTCGTAAAGATTTGGTCGGCACACACAGGAGAACTGCTGTACACGCTCCACGGGCACGTCGGCAACATCACAGACATGGACATTCATCCGTCGAATGGATTACTCGTGACGTCATCGGACGACAAAACTGCCAGAGTATGGGAAATCGCGACTGGGTTCTCCATCGCTGTCTTGGTGGGCCACACAAGGTACACCGTTCTTTCTGAACGTACTCTTCTCTTTGAATGCAACATGCTTTTCTAGTGACGTGAACACGAGCCGCTTTCACCCCGTGGAAAACGTCGTCGTCACGGCGTCGGACGACGGCACGTGCTGCATGTTTCGAATTCCCAATGTCGACGGCCCGACAGAGTTAGAAACTAAGACTGAAACAGTCCAACGCCTCTTCAAGCAGCAAGCCTACTGCCGCAACATCAAACCATTTGTGGTGCTCAATCACACGAACTCACGACTGAGTCGATCGAGCAAAGTGGTGTCCCTAGCAATCAGGTTTGAAGAAACAAAACCACTGGAGGCTTGATGGGAGCGACGATACCGACATTTGTTTTGTTTTGATCTAGTCCTAGTGGCGATGTCGTAGTGACCGGTAGCCATGACGGCATGGGGCGGGCTTGGCGTATTCTACAGTTTTTGACGGAACCGACACCTCAAGTGGCGGACTTTACAACGAATACTGACGAAGTGGATGCTGTCGTGAATTCAATACCTCATCAAGTTGAAGTGTCCACGGCGAACTTCGTGGTCCAACAACGCGTAGTCGAAGCCCCAGAGGCCCCAGGAGTGGTTAATCCCCACTGGGCAAACAGCACCATTGTCACCGAACCGATAGCTGTTATGGAGGGCCATACCCAGTCCATCACGACTCTATTGTTCAACCGACGTGGCGATGCAATCGCGACGGCATCTATGAAGGATGGTATGTGTGAATGATGCTACTGCGAAGTGCATCGTTCCAGCCGAGACCTGATGGAAAACGATGTAGGTACGTCAAGGCTATGGAGATGGTCCACGAAATCTCCATACGAGAAAGTCAGCCATACCATCTTGCGCGGACCCGAAATGTTGCTTTCGACTCGTCGAGCGAAGTCAGAGTTGTCGACAGACCAACTTATTTGGACATCTGACGATTCGAAACTGGTCACGCTCCACAGTCGCAAGCCCGAAGTGACTGGCAAGTGGTGCCAAGCCCTCCGCGTGTGGGACCCAGTTGCGTGCATGCCCCTCCGAACTCTCTCCCACGACACCCATGGCCACGCGAATGCTGTCTTTGCCATGGACAGTCATCCCACGGACGCTCGTATCCTGCTCACTGCTGGGTATGATGGTCGGATCTTGATTTGGGACATTGAAGTCGGTCGCATCCTGCGTTTCTTTCAAAACTGGGAGTCGCCGATCAACATGGATGGGTGTGCTATTTTGGACGTGAGTTTCTCCCCTGAAGGCGATTCGTTCGCAGCCACAGATCGAGCGGGTCGCTTACTTCTATTTGGCACTGGATCCGGTGATGCATTCCAGGGTACCCCAACGGAGCAGTACTTTTCGAATGACTACGCTCCCATCGATCTTGACATTCATCTGAACGTGGCCGACCGAGCGACGCAAGTGCAGCCGCAATTGCTCCCGCGATCAGTTCTTATGGACATGGGGCGCAACGTGTACACCCACCAGCCGGTGCATCTCATGCAGCCTTTGAGCGTCCAGGAATACCAAGCCAATTTAGAACTCCGTCAAAAGCAAACGAGTGAAACTCCTTACTTCAACAGCGTCGTCGACCAAGATGCTCAAGAACCGTTCGTCGATGCCAACTTTGTCGATGAACCTCTAGAGCGACCGCTGGTCCATCGACCGACTTTTGTTAATGCGTATCGATTGAATGGCGAAGCGGTTAAAGCATCAGAACTGCGCCGTCGCCGACAGCGACAAGCATCAACGGAAGACCCTACTGAACGCGACACATCTGTGTTGAACGACGTGTTACCATCTAGCGAAGATGATGACGAGGATTTTCAAGTGAACGATGCCGCGCAGGTGGAAGAGGAAGATGAGGTCGGTACAACCCTGTCGCTGAAACAAAGCATGAATCCTGCCGTAGGACGACGATATGGACGACGATGACGAAGACTGCAGCGACGACGACTTGGACCACGAGGTTGTGCTGGATGGAAATGGTATAATCGCCGCTGGGATACGAAGGGACGTGGATTTTGACATCGTACGATTGTAGGTTCCCGTGCACTTCGCAGCCAACGGCGTAGAACTCGGCAAAGTGACAATGAAGACGACAAGGATGACGATGTTGGACCAACAAGGAGACGTCGTCGTGTTCGTGTTGCGCGGAATCAAGTTGTCGACGATGATGATGAAACAAAGGAAGATCCACCATTATCGCCTCCCTTCGATGGGACTGTGGCGGACGTCCGCGAAGAAGACTTGGTCGTGGAATCATCTGAAGGCGTCACCGTGTTGGGTAATCAGCGTGACAAGTTCGACGAAACCAAAACGTACTCTCAAATGTTCACGCAAAAGTCGTCGATTGTATGTGGATTCTGTGGTCGAGGCGACCAAGGCGGAATGTTCGCTCTGCCAGGAGCCCTCATGGGAGACTTTGCCTTAGTGAATGGGGCCCAGCGAGTGTTTGTGCATGACCAATGCGCTATCAGCTCCCCGCTGAGTTTCTTCCACGACGGATCATGGTACAATGTTGCGAAGGAGCTTCGTCGCGGCCGATTGCTCAAGTGTTTTCACTGCGGTCAAAAGGGCGCCACGATCGGATGTAACACTGAGTCATGCAAGGTCACAATTCATCTGCCGTGCGGCATGGTTCACGGGTACAACGTGGACCAAGTGCAATACTATTGCAAATCCCACGCTGCCAAGTCCGGTGTGCCATCCTCGACCTCGTCCTCAATTTCACCAGAGAGTTTCATTCGACGAATGGGCCATCAATACGACCGTTTATACTGTCAGCAAAGTGCCGTGTCGAACGAACTGGCACTGATTCCTCAAGTTGGCGACACGTTGATGTATTGCCCTCAAGGTCATGAAGTCTTTCTGCGTTCGTTTCCATCCAAGTTCCAAGCGGCGTACAAGAGCCTGCCCAAACCATTTGCAGTGTTGCAATGCCACGTTCTCGACATTCAGTACACATTCCCTCCCGTGGATCTCTACCCCCAGCAAAACCGCATTGTGATGGAGTTGATCATGGACGTCGTGGGGCTCCCGAGTGTTTATTTTCGCAACGAAGACGACCAACCAAGTGTGGACGTGCTGGATTTCGGATCGTTTGTGCCTGTGAACAACTTGTTTGTACGAGACGAGTCCGAGGCCCGACGGAAGTGGCGATTCCGTCTTCAGCACCAACCTTCGGAGTGCGCAGAATTCCTCCTACTCGAGCAAAAGTACCTCAGTGGCTTCCAAGCTCCAAGATGGAAGGTCGGCGCCACTGTGCAGATGGCATACCACACAATGGATGATCACGGAATGATCCAAAACACTCAAATGGACACTGGCAAGATCCTTGAACTGTCTCCGCTTGACCCAGCCATGACATCTCCGTGGGAGTGTATCGTGGTCCAGTGGGAGAACGAAGACACGCCGTGTCGAGTGAGCCCGTGGGAACTCGAGTCTGACCAAACTAACTTTGCCCCACCGGCGATTCCGAACCGGCCAGCGTTGCTACAAGGTCTCATGTCAATCCGGCAGCTCTCGGTCGCCGCTGGCTTCAACGAAGCCGTCCCCACGTCCACACCCGACTACCACATCACGATTGCAAACCCCATGGACCTGAGTTTAATCTGTCAGCGCGTTGAGTCCAACTATTTCCGACATGTGGACGCGCTGTTGGCCGACGTCAAGCTCATGGTGCGCAACTGCGAAACGTACAACGTCGAGAGCAGTCTTATCGCCCAAAACGCCCGCAGCGTTCTCACAAACGTCACGACGATACTGAATCAGTTGTTTCCCTACCACCCATGGTTGCCAGTGCTGTCACATGAAAATGCCCAGCTTGACGGTGGCATGGAGATCAAAGCGTCCGCTGGTGCAAGTAGCACTGTGCCGCCGTTCGTTGCGACGCAAGATGTGCAACCATCGCGGCATCGCCCTTTGAAGCGTGAGTTGGACAGTCAATACAGCACCAACAAACGAACCACTGCAGAACGTGAGTTGCGCGTCATGCAAACGATGCGACTTCCTATGGCGCAACGGGAAGCGTTTCTAAACGTTGTTGCAAAAGGCAAGCTGGTCGAGTGCCTCACCCAAGTCCACACTCACGCCCAAGCCGAAGACCAGTACTTGATATTTGCCCAGCCTGTCACGGACGACATTGCGCCGGGGTATTCCGCCATAATCACCCGTCCGATGGACTTTGCCACGATCAAGGCGAAAATCCCACAATATCCAACGCTCTCGGCGTATTATGTAAGTTGGCCACCTTTTTCATCTTCAGACTTGAGTTTCTGACGCGAGAGCCGCCGACGTAGGACGACTACATGCTGGTCATGGAAAACGCTATGACGTACAATCAGCCGGGGACACTCGTGTTTGCAGAGGCCAAGCGGATGAAAGCTGTCTTGGCCAAGTGCTTTGGACGAGTGTTGGGGGGTCAAAAAGGAAAAGGTAAAGCCAAAGCTCGTAGACGGTACAGCGATGACGACGACGACTCGGCGGAATCGAGCGAGTCGAGTGATGACGAAGTCGACGAGGACGGTGACGAGAGCGAAGAAGAGGCGTCATCGACGAGCGAGAGCGAGGATGACGACGACGACGAAGACGACGACGACGATGGAGGACGACAGCGGCGGAAACCAATGCCACCCACCCAACGACACAGGTGAAAACCGAGACCATTGCCACCACCAACGGTTTAGTCGTGTAAATAGACAAGGAACAGACTGCTGTGACTACTTTTGTTAGAGTGCCATCGCAAGTTCCCATCGTTGGGACAGCCATCACGACTCACTGAAATCATCGACGAATGATGTCCTAAACTTTCATGGTCTGTCGAGTAGATCGACTAGACGTGGCGACCAGGTCGCCATGGGGAGCGCGAGGGAGGAGCTACCCCTCATTTCCACGATTGACACACAAGGTAAATAAGTCCCACGGCATCTCCATGCGTGCAACATATGTACCCGACCCGCCGCTCTGCGATGCATGCCTTGCCTGCGTATCAACTTCCGTGAAACCAGCCTGCGTTTCATCGGCATGTGCTCGACGCATGACTCATGCAGCCCGGCCGCCGTCGACGCGGCTCAGCATTGCCGTCCAGTCGTCGTGGAGACGGCACGTCTCTGCAGTACGCACTCGAATGAGCTCGCCAGCCGATGGCATTTCTTCCGTCCGCGGTACAAGTTTCAATTTCAAATCTTACTGCTCGAAATGAAAGTATTAGTTCTCGGAGGATATTGAATGCAAACATGGAGGCATCACAGTAACCCACGTGCACCGACCAAGTTGTCCGAAGCGAACATGCGACTATGGCGTGTGGAGGATCAGGTGTATCCACCAACTGTTTTAAGGAAAGCGCTGGGCACACGACCTATATTCCCATCGTCGTCGTTCGTCGTTCGTGGCGCTTCTTGCCGCAATGTACGGCACCATCCAAGACGAAAGCAAACCGCTCAAGGACGCCGCCGCTCGTCATGGTTCTCGCGTTGGCTTTCCCACGTTCTGGCGAGGAAAGTGGGCCGTCTTGACCGCCGCGGCCTTGGTTGTGTTGGGATTATCCCAAACGTCGACGAGTGCACCGCTGGCGTCGACGCGATTTTGTGACTCGACGGCGCAATCGTCAGGGTACATCAAATTGCCCAACAAGCAAGACGGCCACTACTTCTACTGGTTCTTCGAATCCCGAAGCAACCCTGACACCGATCCGTTGGTGCTGTGGCTCACAGGCGGTCCCGGTGGGTCGAGTCTCTTGGCCCTGCTGACCGAAAATGGTCCGTGCACCATTGCTGACGACGACATCACGACAATTGGAAACCCGTACTCGTGGACCACCCGTGCCAACGTGATTTGGGTCGATCAACCGATCGGGACTGGGTTTTCGTACGGCACGGCGGATGACGCAGACCACAACTCGACACAAGTCGGCGAAAACATGTATTTCTTTCTCCAGCGCTGGCTCAAGCAGCACCCAAAATTTGCCAACCACCGGTTCTTCCTCACTGGTGAGAGCTACGCTGGTCATTACGTCCCTGCCGTTGCGACGGCGCTCCTCAAAACCGCCCCTTCGCCCGGTGACGTTCACATTCAGTTGGAAGGCGTGGCCATCGGCAACGGCTTGACAAGTCCTCTCATTCAGGTAGACGTCCTTCACCCCTGTCTCTCCTGCGTCCGGCACTTCTAAACCTTCTGTGCCCAGATGCAACACCAAATCGACATGATCCGGGACAACTCGTACGGGAAAGTGCTCTTGAACGGGTCCGACTACACCACGTACCAAAACAGCGTGTCGACCATTGTGCATCTCATCGAGGAGTGTTATGCCCACAACGACACGGCTTGCACCGACGCGACGGTCCTGTGGCTGCCCACGATAGTCCAGCCCCTCCTCACAATTTCAAAAGTCAATCAGTACGATCTGCGCGAGTCTCTTGGGGATGGCCATGAAAACCCAGCCGCGGCGAAGCAACCGACCGGCGGCCTCTTGTCCAAGGAATCGCTCAAAACGATTGGGAACCCGCACGCCCATGCCTTTCTAAACAACCCCGTCGTCCAAGCCTACCTCAACATCCCGCATTACATGCCATGGACGGAGATCTCGCAGGACGTATTCGGTCGCTTCTCGGTGGATTTTTTCCAAAACCGCGATGGCGATGTCGCGTACTTGCTCGAGCACAAGATCCGCGTCCTGATTTACGCAGGCGACGCCGATTTGGTTTGCAACTGGAAGGGCAACCTGGCGTGGACGACAGCGCTGTCTTGGAGCGGCGCGAAGGCTTTCAACGCGGCCAAGGAAGAGCCGTTCGTTGTCCGTGGAGTCGCGAAAGGCACGCTGCAAGCCGCCGGCAACTTTGCCTTCCTTCGTGTGTTCGACGCTGGTCACATGGTGCCCGAAAATCAACCTGAAGCTTCCCTCGCAATGCTGAACCGGTTCCTGGCCAACGCACCGTTGCATCGCGACTAAGAAGAACGCGATGTTTGGCTGCTCTGAGGCGCATTATCGTTCACTTGTAGTTGAAACAAAATGACCTGCAACATGATGCAGGCGACACCTTTGCCGTCTCCATCCATCACGTCCTTGAGAATTGAACGCTAGACTACCATCGTGATGTTCATTCCCCGGTTAACGCCTGCTAGCAGAGGGATGGACCTCAAGTGTTTGTGGCGATCAAGGTAGGGTACCGAGCTCGCGAGACACCCTCCAAATACGCGACGATGTGGTCATGCTTGTATTTCTTGGCTCGTTCGATCGCTTTCGCCGTGAACCCCTCGTGTCGGTACGTGTGGAGGAACTTCACCACGTCGACATAACCATTGCTGGCTGCCGCGTCGATCGCCATCACGGAGCAGCCCTCCGTTCGATGCGTGTGCAAGAACTCGACAACGTCCAGATGCCCTTGACCAGCTGCAAAGTCCATGGCCAAGAAAGTCCCGCCTTCTGGTCGATGGAAATGGAGAAACGATACCACATGCAAGTGGCCTCGCAGCGCGGCAAAGTCCATCGCGTCCGTGGTGCATCCAGTGATGCTGCTGTGGTGCAACCACTCGAGAATCGCCAGTTGTCCGTGGGCCGCAGCGCAGTCCATGGTGTACCGCGTCACGATTTGTCGTCCGAGACACTGAATCCACCTTTGAACTAGCGGTAGCGATCCTTGGACCACTGCGTGATGCAGCGGAAACGCTTTGTCCGTGGCATCATCGACAAAGTACTCGTCCAGCGCCAATTCGATGGCTTCCCCTGGGACGCGGCACATAGTTTGCTGTCGTCGGGCATCGAATCGGGTGCGAATCCGACTGCATGCGCGGTGGCTTGGCCGTAGATCTTCGTAAAGCCCAGACTGAAATGCTTGCACTGATGGCAAGATGTCGATGCTGAGGAGTACATTGCGTGCAGCGGTCGACGCCATTGTCTTCAGGAGGGCGAACCCAGACTGACCGAGCAGGATGCTCCCATGACATTCGAGCAGCCGTCGGAAAACACGTCGGATACGCAACGTCAAGATGTTGGCACCGGGGTTGATCCTTGGTGCTTTGTCGGGCTGCTGTCCCCGTCACGAGTTGCTGCATCAAGGAGGCAAAGGAAAGGCGACCAAGATGCCTAGTGTACATTGCTCACATACCCAGGACGTGAAGTGCTAGTTGCAACCGACTCGCCACAAGTTGTCTCGATCCTACATAACCACGGACACCGTGCATGATCGTGGCACTCCATACAAGGGCAGCAGGTCATCGGTGTGTACATGTGGGTGGCTCAAGGGCTTCGCCCCATTTCTCCCCTGGCAAACCTCCTGACCATGATGAATCGAGATTGTCCTTTGAAAAAACGCCCATCGTTTCGGGATCCTTCGAAAGGGCGCCGTGTTGTTCGATCCATTCCCGCGTCGAACGGCTTCGGTGGACCACGGCGGCCACTCACTTCCAAGACTTAGCCAAGCAAGGACAGGATGGCATCGCATGCACTTCTTGGCGGGGTGCAGCCCCCTCCACCCAACGTACGCGACGAAACGATCCATTTGATCTCGCTGGCGGCGCCCATGGTACGACAAAGACCATGTGTAGCCGAGCTGAGCTGTGTTGTAGATGTTGAATTTCATGATGGAATCGATGTATGCCCCGATCAGCGTCGGTCTTGTTGGCCATCTTGGCAAACCAGACACGAAGCCATTCGTCGATGGCGTCACGATGGGATGCATTTACATGATGGTGACAACGCATGCGGTCGGACTTGGCTTGGGAAGTGCATTAGACACGCTTGCTACTCAAGCGCACGGCGCAGGCAACTACAAGAAGATGGGGGTGTACTTGGAGAGCGCCATGCTTGGCACTGCCCTGGTACGTATGCATGTGCCGTTCGCACCCGCCCTTCACGACCCCCGCATGTGCAGGCGTACATCCCGACCGCGGCCGCCAACTGGTACTGTCAAGACATTTTAACGATGTGCGGGATCAACACAGTCGTGGCAAATTTGGCGGGGCAGTTCGTTCGCTACTCGACGTTTGCGATGCCGTTTTACTTTCTCTACGACCTCATTCGTAAGATGCTCCAGGCGCACGACATCGTGGCCCCCATGCTGCCCATGGCTATCGTGAGCAACGGCTTACACGTTGGGCTCGGGCTTTACTTGACTCAAGTGCAAAAGCTCGGCTACCACGGCGTTTTAATCTCGGGGGGACTCAGCCACGTCGCGTACCCCCTGATGCAGCTTGCCTACTTGACGTGCATCAACCCCGTGCACCACACGTGGAAACTCCAGTGGAATCTTCGGTCCGCGATCGCGCACCTGCCGGAGTTTTTCGAGTTTGGCCTTCCTGGCATGGCTACCATGTTGATTGAAAACGGCGCGTTTGGAATCCTCGGGTTCATGGCAGGGGAGCTGCCGCACAGTTTGCTACTCATCGCCGTCAACTCGGTAGGAAACGATGGAAATTGTTTGCCTCGACTGCATCCTCTGAAGACTGACGGGGCCGTGTCCTCTGCAGGTCCTGCTCCAAACCATCACCACGGCCTTCATCATGTACATTGGATTCTCCGTGGCGACAACTGTCCGCATGGGGAACGCGATCGGAGCCAACCAACTCGATCACGCGCGATGCATTATGCGGGTATCCCTCGTCGTCACGACGCTCTGCCTTGCTCTGACCACGGGGGGGCTCTTCCTGTGGAGGCATGACGTTCCGTCGTTGTATGTCAACGACGCCCAAGTGTGCGAGTACGTGCTGAGTGTGCGCAGCCCCAAACCTGACATGACACACGTAGCCGCGCAGCAACCGCGTTGGTGTTTGTGCTGCCATTGCACGCATCCGATTCGTTCAATGCGGTGTGGCAAGCCATGCTACAAGCTGTCGGCAAACCGTCCCATGCTGCCTACGTGAATGCTGTAGCGTACTACATCATTGGGTTGCCCCTGGCGGGTTTTCTTGCCTTTAGTTTGCACTGGTCACTCGAGGGCCTCTGGGCTGGGCTTACAATCGGGTCCTTTTGTGCATGTGGAGCGTACACTGTCATCATGGCTCGGTTATCGTGGAGGGAAGTCCTCGAAGAAGCGAATGCCCGAACTGCCGACGATGGCGACACCAAGATGACCACGTCATGGACCGCTCCTCCTCTCGCGACGGACGGATGCGAGACGCCCATTGTGCTGTACACGTAACTACCACAGCAGCACCATCTCGCTGGCACGTGTAGCGTTTGCTTAATGCACATTTATGGTGTCGTCCGATGTGAATGGGACGACTTTCAAAGGACCTGATCTGCGCCATGCATACAACTCGTTTCCGTCTCGGTTGCACGATGAGTGACAGACGATCCTTGCAGTTCACATTGACGAAGGCAAAGAAGGCTTCGACGGCTTGTTGATCGAAACAATTGAATGGATGGCCTCCCGGAATTGGATGAGTTGTGTGAACAGCCATGGCGCGAGATGAAACCGTGGCCAGTCTGCTGAAGAGGCGTCGCCGTATAAAAGGAGGACCCAGATGGCATCCAGCGCGCACCTTAGTGAAGTGGCTGTGCCATTGAGTTCATGGGGAGAAGCTGGTCACATGAACAAGCTAGCGCTTCCAATGGTAAGACCTCGTACTTCCCTGGTTGACCTGAACCAGGGTAGACGGACAATTTTTCCATCGAAGCGCTGTACGCGCCGATTAGTATCGGACTCATGGGCCACCTCGGTGCGGCCGATACAAAGGTGTGTGCCGATGGAGCCACTATGGGAAGCATCTACATGATTGTGACGACGAATGCAGTGGGTATTGGATTCGGCAGCGCCCTCGACACGCTTGCAACCCAAGCGCCGGCAACTACAAAACGATGGGCGTGTACTTTCAAAGCGCAGTGCTGGGTACAGCTCTGGTACGTCGTCGACGTATAGTTATGTAGCCAAATTGACCTCGCTAGGTGTACCTTTCGTTGGTGCTGCTCAACCTGTACTGCAAACCAGTTCTTGCGGCGCTCGGGTTCATGCGGTCGTGGCAGACTTTGCGAGTCAGTTCGTGTGGTACTCGACGCTAGTCATGCCGTTCTACTTTCTCTACGACTTGATCCGAAAGATGCTCCAGGCCCACGACATCGTGGCCCCATGACCGTCTTCAGCAATGCGCTGCACGTTGGTCTCGGTCTCTACTTTACACAGATCCTAAACATCGGCTTTGAAGGAGCTGTGCTTGCGGGATGTCTGAGCGAAGCCGCGCATCCGTTCATGCAAATCTTCTACCTCCTCTGCATCAACCTGTCAACGCCGCCGTGACAATAGTAATGGTCGCCGAGGCGAGCCTCCGATGCACTCGGTCGTTGTCGAAGTGGCGAAATTGGCATCGTCCTTCTTAGCCAATGAATGTTTTCAAAAGGACTTTTTTCAGACGATTTAAACCAATGAAATTTGCTCTTCGAATTGAATTGCGGACTTCGGACGGGATTCACCAACCTCCACGAACGGATGCATCGTGCCAACGCATTTGCGGCGGCCTTCCAGCCCGCCCTCGCGGAGAAGTTGAATGCGTTCCTACGCTCCTCCCGCTCAGCGGCTCTCTCCAACACGTTCCATCAACTCCACGTGGTTATTGGAAACGAAGCCTGCGATGCAGACTCCATGGTGAGCAGCTTGATTTATGCATTCTTTCGAGGTCATAGCCATGAGATCTCCACGGGCAGCACCGACCCTCCACGAACAGTCTACTTGCCTGTCATGAGCGTCGACCGTGATCAGTTTCGACTGCGATGTGAGACCAATGCTCTTTTCGATGCCGCCCACATCGACGTCGATGCTCTTGTGTTCCAAAACGAAATCGACCTTCCCGCGATTCACGCCACACAACAACTGAAGCTGACGTTGACTGACCATAACAAACTCAAACGGGGGTACTCTTCCCTTGAATCTGCCGTGGTATGTGCGATCTCTTGATCTTGACATTCCACGATTTACCCTTCTTTGTGCAGACATCCATCCTGGACCACCACGAGGACCTGGGCAGCCATGAACAAGTGACGGGTTCCCATCGGCGCATTGCGTTTGAGAAGACGGAGCGCGGTGGCAACGTGCTCGCAGGCTCGTGCTGCACGCTGATCGCCGAGGAGATCATAGCATCGGGGACGGCAATCGACCCGTTAGTTGCAACGCTTCTTGTGGCCGTCATTCTTCTGGACAACATGAACATGGATCCAAAGATGAAAAAAGGGACGCCACGGGACGTTGCCATGGTCGACGCCCTCCTTCCGCACGCGTTGATCGAGCGCACACCACTCTACGACTGGCTCGTGCTGGAGAAGTACAATCCGGCCAACTGGGCCGCATTTTCGTTTGGGAACTGCCTCCAGTACGATTACAAGCAATTCGAATCGGCGGGTGTGTCGTATGGGTGCAGTTCGATTCTGGTTGATTTGCCGTCGTTTTGGGCGGCGGGCGGCGGAGGCACCTCTGCCCTGGCCTTGCTCGAGAGTCATCGCGTGTCGCAGGAGTTGGCGTTTGTCGTCGTTCAGTCCATGATCCACTCGGGCCCTCGGCGCCAGCTCCTCGTATATGCCAAGGACCCCGACTTGCATGCGGCACTCAAGGCGCATCTGGACAATGTCGGTGTGTTGCAACTTGCCCCGCTTGACGTGCACTCAGGTGTGCACGCATTCGAGCAGCACAACGTTGCGCTGTCTCGCAAGCAACTCGTCCCGCTGTTGGACGCATTTCTCAAGCAATTGCCGTCTCCATTGTAGTCGCGAGTATTTTGAATCGTGTGGTTCGTGGTCACGTAATAGCAACGATTCGCACACAGCCAGGGGCACTTGAATGTCTCGAACGCCATGCATCCTCGCCATCCTGCTTCTCTGTCGAGTGAGCGATCGAGAGTGAAGAATAGAAACGCTGCCATGTCAACCTTGTCGTCGTCACGGTATTGTAACAACGATGCGCATCCGAGTTAACGTGATCCATCCCCCGCTTCGACCCTCCTGTTACACGTGGATCAGCGCGACCTCTATCCATACCATCAGTAAGCCAGGGACTACATGACGTGCTTGCGGTACGTGATTAGGAGCTTCGAATGTACACGTGTCAGCGGCATGCATCACCCACACACACCGCCACGACTGCCATGCGCTCACGGCGCCAACGTTGGTGCATTCAGTTCACGCAATTCAAATAGTATTCAACGCTTCACTTAGATAATGTATGCCACGGAATTGA